GAATCGGCCAGGGGACTCCTCCACCATAATGCTACTATCTTTGAATGGGAATCTATCCTCAGATTTTGGGGAAACTTTGCCTATGGAGAAGAAATGATGAGAAAATAGACTCAAAAGAACCTTCTGGGATGAGTCTATCAAGTTTTGTCTACTCCAAAAGCAGATGTTGGTTTGAGCATAGCAGTAATATTATTTTTCTCACCAGAAATGAAACACTGATATTTTAACAGATATAAGATAATGATACATTGGGTTATTCACCTTGGGTAACATGACTATACTGGATCTTAGTCTTCCTACCTGTAATATAAAGAAAATAATAACTTTTACTACCTTCTTCACAGGGATATGGTAAGGAAAGTGCTTCCTAAGTTGAAAAGTACTAAATAAATGTGAATTAGTATCATTACTCTTACTATAATCATAATTGACTTCAGGTGACTAGAACATGTTTTAAAATGCATTTTAAGCTTTTGCATTTAGTATTTAATTATATAGAAGTATTAACTGGTAAAAAAAATAGAATACTAAAAGTCAAATGAAAGACAGGAAGGGTGGCACTGGATTTGGAAATCCTAGGTTCTAGTGCTGGCCCTCAAACTTTAGCGTCTTGGGTTAGTCATTTGGTTCCTCTGAGTTTCAGTTTCTTCATACACAAGAGAATGATTTTGGTTAGTCATCATATCTTCCTGATCTAAGATTCTGAAACTTTATTTCACCTCTTCAACCTCTCCTTTCCCTTATCCTTAACACCAAATCTATTTTCTAGTTCCTGTCTTGAATATTCCCTCCGAATATCCTGTTTATGTTTGTCCACATTGTCATTGCTTTAGATTAGAAGAAAGTGCTAAAGGACAGGACAGACATTGCGTCCACCTCATTCTGTCAGATCTTCACCCAGAACAGTCCCACACTTAACTGGATACTTCATATACCTTCCCTCAAGGACTTTAGGCCTTTTTGAAGTAAAATGAATGCATTTGTGATAATAGATGCTGACTTGTACACAAACTTTTTTGGGGGGAGTGTGGGTGGGGAGGAAGGGACAATACAGAGGTTGAAGATTTGGCACAGTTTAAATTACTGCCTATCTCTGAAAGGCTATGTAGAAGAGAATGGATATGAGTGAGTCTTTAAAAAAAAGTATGAAGTTTACCTTAAGAGATGACAAATGAAAGTTGCTAAATCAGTAAGGGACATGGTAGGGGAAATACACAAAGGAAATAAAAAGGATTTAATACAATGTCAAATCTCTTCTCTCTATTCAAATATTTTGAGGATTTTAAAAGAGTTAAGAATCTGATCAATGCAGTGACAAACTACAATTCCAGAGGATTGATAGCGAAGTCAATCGTCCTACCTCCTGATAGAAAAGATAAACTCAAGATAAAGGAGGATACATGCATTTACAGCCAGTGCCAATGTGGGAATTTGTTTTGCCTTTCCGTGTATATTTTTCACAAGGTTTTCTTTTCTTCATTTTTTTTCCCCAAATGGCTAAAAGAGTTTAAAGGTAGAGATGGACTAGCAATAGGGTTGCCAAGAAAAAAAAAAGGGACAGAAAAAAAAAGAAAAAAGAAAGAAAAAGGAAGGAAAAGGAAGAAAGGTGATTTAAGCAATTCTTAGTACACAAAAGAAGGGAGAAGAAAATACAAAAAAGCAAGACAGATTTGAAATGTTGACTTTATTATAAACTTTAAAAGAAATCAAGTGTTACTTTTATGTACACTCCTTTTTCTATTCTATTTATTTCGTGTTAAGTTCAGAATGAAAAGGAAAGATAAAATACCACTGCTTTAGAGTTTCAGAGAATTGAATTTTCTTCTTACACACAAGACAAGCATGCTCCAGTAGGAGGAGGATCGGCTTTGGAATTAGAAGGTCTAATTTTTGAATGCCACCTCCATTAATTCATTCCCTATTGTAACCTTGTATGTGACAATGTCTCTAGGCCTCAGTTTTCTCACCTGTAAAACAAAGGGGGTGGACTAGATGATCTCAAAGATCCCTTCTAATTAAAAAATCCCATGATCTTTGGTCTTTTTTGAGATAAAAACTAAATTCTGATTTAATTGTTAAAGATTTCACTTCTTTAAATTATATTTCAAGCAGCAATTGCTGGAACTCATCAACTCTCAATTATCTAAGATAATAGAATGCAGTGTGCATTCATGCATACTTAGCTTCCACATTCTCTACTAATGTTCTTTAGAATCGGGTGTGTCTAATGTTCCAGAAATAGGGCAGCTAGGGAGCACAGTGGATAGAGGGAAGGGCCTGGAATCAGGAAGACTCGTCTTCCTGAGTTCACATTCTGCCTCAGACATTTATTAGCTATGTGACCCTGGGCAAGTCACTTAACCCTGTATACTTCAGTTTCCTCATCTGTAAAATAAGCTGGAGAAGGAAATGGCAAACCACTCTAGTGTCTTTACCAAGAAAAACCCACAACTGAACAACAACAGTGTTCCAGAAATTCCACAACCTAAAACAATAACAAAGAAGCAACCCCATATTCTAACTCAGGAGACTTTGAGAAACTGTTCCATTTCTATGTTCCACACCCTGGATAGGGATAGAGTGTATCACCTCTCAAGCTGATTTGAACCATCAGTCTAAGCTAAAGCTATACTTTTTTTCTGTGCATACATAGGCTGACTATCTGTCTGTCTATTATGCCCTATTGCTATCATGGTCACAGTCATAAGATCATAGTTTTAGACCTGGAAGGGACCTCAGAGGTCACCTAGTCAAATCCTTTTGTTTTATAGATGAGGAGACTGATGCCCAAACAGTGGACATGACTTCCGCAATTTCATATGTCATAAGTGGAAGAGCAGGGAGTGAAATTCAGGTGTCATGACTCCAAATTTGGCTGTCCAATTTGAGTACACTTTACAATGCATGATTATCAATATCCCTTTTCTTTTTTGAGGTCTTTTCTGGTAGTTGAGCACAAGGAAGGAAAAATAAATTTCATTGAAACATAAAATGTCAAACTAGGGAAAGGTTAGGGAACCTTTAATAAAGTCAACAAGGCAGTAATTTGGTTATGACATTTTAATAAAATAGGGAACCATTAATAAAGTCAACAAGGCAGTAATTTGTTTATGACATCACAAAACAGGATTCTAATCTATCTGTAATTGTTAGTAAACAAGATTGTTTGCATTGATTGCTCAGTGAACCTTCCAAAGGCAATTAATTTGTGTCCATTAAATAGTCTAAGTCCTTGGAAAATCTGTGTATTACAACATTATCAGGGAAAAAAAATCCCTGATATCAGCATAATTCTCAGTAATATAAGACAATTTGTTCTAAACTGAATATGCAGATGTTTTATGCTGCAAAAGGAAATCGGATGAGAAATGTATTGAACTATATGTCCGGATCAAGGGTGGGGAACCTGTGGCTTCGAGGCCAGATATAGCCCTTTAGGTCCTCGAGTGCATCCCTTTGACTGAATCCAAACCAGTCAAAAGGTCGCACTTGAATACCTAGAGGGCCGCATCTGGCCTCGAGGCCACAGGTTCCCCACATCTGATGCAGATTTTGGCACGCAGCCCACTGTATATGTCCACCAAAATGTAAAACATTGGGGTAGCTAGGTGGAACAGTGGATAGAGCACCGGCCCTGAAGTCAGGAGGATCTGAGTTCAAATCCAGCCTCAGACCAAGCACTTGACACTTATTAACTGTGTAACCCTGGGCAAGTCACTTAACCCCAATTGCCCAAAAAAACAAAACTAAAACAAAACAAAACAAAACAAAATGTAAAACATTGTGCAAGTTAATACATCACTGTGATGTCATTGATCCTCTTGAAAAATGAAGGACAAAACAACAGCAACAACATAATGCAGACAAGGGTTATAAATGCGTAGGCAGATAGCGCAAGCATCATCCTCATTATAAATGACAACAGAGCTTGGAAAGAGGAAGTAGCCTGCTCAAGGTCTCATAGCGAGTGTAAGAGCCAATATTCAAAGAACTAGGTATCATGATACAATGGAAAGACCACTAGCTTTAGAGCCAGAAGATTGGGGTTCAAATCCTACCTCCGACACAAATTCCCCTCTTTGAAGTAACTGTTGACAATTCACTTCACCTCCGTAACCCTCAGTTTGAAACGAGTGATTTGGACTTGCTAGCCGCTGGCTTCCCTTTCAGTTTTAGGTCTATGATCCTGTTCTGTCTCCTTGCTCAACACTCTTTCTACTATCCCACATTTCCTCCAACTCAAACAGTACATCTGTATCCTCAAGCAACAAAAAAAGGAGGTCTCCAGTTTGTTGAATGTAACTCAGTACTTATTCAATAATACTTTAAAATACTTTTAAAAAGTATAATGGTTATCTTTAGCATGTACTTCTCCAAAGAAGAACATTATAGACTATTTTGTTCTTTTAAAAAATGAACTTTCAGTACACCTTCCTTCTTTCCTCAGAGGTGTGGCCATGCCACTTCCCTGATCTATAAACCCTAATGGCTCCCCATTACTTTTAGGATCAAATAATTAACTTCTCTGTCATTAAAGTCTTTCACATCCTTACTCCAAATTATCTTTCCATTGTATTAGATTTTATTCCTGTTTACCTACTCTAAGTCCAGCAAAACAAATGTCTTTTTTTTTTCCTGTTCCTCACATGAGTTATTCTATTTCCTCCTCTGTGCTTTATTTAGCACAGTAGGTCCCACATGCCTGGAAAGCACTCCCTCCTTACCTTTGCTTCTTACAATCCCTAGTTTCCTTTAAAACTTATCTCAAACATCAGCTTCTAAATTATAAATCAATCAACAGTCATTTTTTAAAAATTTTTTTTACAGATTGAAGCATATTTATTTTTCTTGTTTTTTTCCTCTTTTTTTCCTCTTTGCAACATGGCTAATATGGAAATAGGTTTTGCATGACTTCATATGTATAGTGGACATCATATTCTTTGCTCAATGGGTAAGGAAGAAGATGAAGGAGGGATAAGATTTGGAACTGATCAACACAAAAAAATATGGAACGCTTCATGAATTTGCATGTCATCCTTGAGCAGGGGTCATGCTAATCTTCTCTGTATTGTATATGTGCTGCCAAAGCAAGTGCAATCAACAGTCATTTAATAAGCACTTCCTGTGTACTCAGCACTATGCTAGACACAAGGGATACAAATACAATGAATGAAACAAGTCTTACTCACAAGGAGCATATAAAACCCTTCCCAAACTCCCAGCCACTAGTGCCTCATCCCCCCAAAATTACCTTGTTTTGATTTTGTCTATATTTATGTATGCATCATCTACCTTAATAGAATATAAACTTCTTTTTTTCTTTTTTTTTCCTAGTGGGGTAATTGGGGTTAAGTGACTTGCCTAGGGTCATATAGCTAGTGTCAAGTGTCTAAGGCCAGATTTGAACTCAGGTCCTCCTGACTCCAGGGCCAGTGCTCTATCTATTGCACCACCTAGCTGCTCCCAGAATATAAATTTCTTGAGGGCAGGGACTGTTTCATTTTGTCTTTGTTTCCCTAGCACCTAGCACAATGCCTGACATGTAGAGTAGTAGGTGCTTAATAAATGCTTGTTGACTGATTGGAAAAGTGGGGAACTATGAGCACAGAATGTTGCATGTGCTGTCCAACATGTTGCTATGTTGGCTGGTTTTGCTTAACTGTGTTTCTTTGTTACAAGGTGAGGATGAATGGGTAGAGTTTGGATAAGGAGTGAATAATTTCCAGAATTAGCTGTAATGTAACAACAAAATACATTACTAAAATGTTAATTTTTAAAAATAAAAAGTGAACATTCAATTCAGGTTGGTGAATACCTCTCCTTTTAAGAGCGTAAGTCCACAACGTGAAGTTAAACACATATGTCTCACTCTTCCATCTTATTTAGAAACTCAATGCATCCATTTTGCTTGATGTACCAATATATTGTTTGGGGGGAGGGATAAGCATTTATATAGCACCTACTATGTGCCTGACACTGTGCTAAAAATATACAATTATCTCATTTGATCTTTATGATGACCTTGGGAGGTAGGTGCTTATAAATTATCTTCATTTTATAGTTAAGGAAACTGAGGCAAACAGAGATTTAAGCGATAGACAGGGTCACACAGCTAGTAGATATATCTGAGGCTGAATTTAAACTCAGATCTTCCTATCTCCAAATCCAGCACTTTATTCAATGCAATTGGATAGAAGAAATACCTAGCTTTCTCATAATAATAGCTAGCGTTTATATAGGGCTTACTATATGCCAAGCACTATACTAAGCTCTTTACAAATATTATCTCCCTTTATTGCGACACAAGTGAAACTAGCTTTTTTTTTCTGAAGCATGACCACACACATATAAAAGTAAATGCTATAAATGTATATATAAAGATATGATGGAAATATCATGTGTCTGTGACAGCAGCTACCTAACATTTATTAAGTACATTCTATGTGCTAGGCATTCTACAAGGCACTGAGGATACAAAAAAGACAAAAAACAGTCCCCACTCTCAAATAAGGGGACAGCATACAACTATGCAAACAAGATATATATGTATATGTACACACATATATACATACATACATACATACATATTCACACATATATGTATATATGATATATATAGATATGTATAGATATATATAAGATGTGTTTATATATATATCTATATATCTATATACACATCTATGTATCTATCAATCTATCAAGCTGAGGTAGTCTCAAAACAAACACACTAGGATTAAGGAAGACTGGGAAAGGTTTCTTGCAGATGGTGACACTTGAGCTGAGACTTGAAGGAAGCCAGAGTAACTAGGAGTCAGAAATGAGAAAAGAGAGTTCCACATATGGGGACATCAATGAAAATGACCAGAGTTGGAAATCAGAGTGTAGTGTGTGGGTTCCAGCAGAGAGGCCAGTTTCAATGAATCAAAGCACATGGAAGGGAGGAAAGTATGAGAAGACCGAAGTTAAGAAATAGCCAGTTTATGAAGGATGTGATAGCCAAACAGATTTTATATTTGATCCTGGAGGTAGCAGGGAGCCACTTGAGTTTATTGAATAGAGGGGTGACCTACACTTTAGGAAGATCAATTTGACAGATGAATGGATGCAGAATGGAGCAGGGAGAGACTAGGTGGTATAGTATATAGAAGCCTCAGAGACAGGAATACTTATTGGGACTGAATCCTGCCTTAGACACTTAGGAGCTGTGTGACCCTGGGAAAGTCTCATAATAGCTCTGTACTTCAGTTTCCTTATCTATAAAATGGGGATAAGAATACTACTTACCTCACAAGGTTGTTGCTCAAATGAGATTATATACATACATACATGGATGCAAACCTAAAAGGACTATGTGAATGATAGCTATTATTGTTTTTCTTATTACTATGTTACTCGAATGGGGATTCTTGGTTCAAGAAGCATTCAAAGTTCTGCTAACTGGATCACTGATGCCATTACATTTTACTTTTCTGGCTACAACTCATAAAGAACAGGAATCCTTTCCTTCACTCTTAATCACAGTTGGTAATAACCTACAGAACAAAGCAGAATCTCTAAAGCTTCCTTCCCCATCTAGCAAGTTTTGGAAGCTTCTTGGTTATATGACAGGCATCAAAATGTACTGTGCATCCCAACACTAGAGTAACTATATTCTATGAAAGCTTTCAGAAGCAGTGACTCAGGGCTCTGAATGCTACAGCCCAAGCCATGCTTTGATTCCTTCATTTTCACCACTGGGGGAATGGAGAACTACATTCAATAATGTTATTAGATGTACCTGGCTTTACAGATAGCTATTGTAGGGCCAGAAAATGTTGCTTATACTTTGTTGGCAGTCAACAAAATAATACATTTGTTTCCACAATGACAGTGGGGCCAGTGAGGGAAGTTTGTTTGCTCTCCTGGTTTATTTCATGAATCCCGGAAGAGCCAGTGGAGATTACATTGTGCATAATTCTTTCTATTCATATTCAGGACATGGTCATAAAACTGCTACATGGCAAAAAGATTTTAACAATGGGAGAGAGGACTAGCCTGTTCACGCATATTAGTAATCAGCAGCTTAATGGCAAATCTGGAGGTTGTCCCAGTTATTTAATTCATCTTGCAGAGGAGAAACTGCTTTTGTGATTACTTCCAGTGTTGAGTTGCTTATAAATGGTCTCAGCTGGAATTTCCCCACAAGTTCAAAGTCAATGTCTCTCTTGCCAGCGGTAGGGGGAGCTCAGAATCTGGTGGGACTAAAATCCAGGAACATCACATTCAAGTATTTAGCCAGATGATGCTGTAATACATAACCACGGTGCAGATACACAACAACTATCTGAACTCTAATAAAGTGGTGCATATAAACAAAGGTGTTCTGGTTTAACTATGGTTATTTGGTCAGGAACACCTGTGATTTAAAGTATTTGTAAGGTTCACCTTATGACTTTGGTCTAGCAGGCACAATTGCCATGGCTAACACACAAATGAAATCTAAGATAATAAACTGCCTCTGCCCCTGAAATACGGAACCATTTCCTTTATGGAACAGTCAGCTGGAACATGTGATCAGTCCATGATCTGATGCTAGTTTTATGATGAGTGGTTTTAGAAAGCCATTTAATACTCTTGTGTTTCTGTTTTCTCACTGATAAAGGAGAATTAGGTAATAGAAAGATAACTGTTGGCACCTCAAGTCCATCCTTCACAAACTAACAGGTTAATCATGAGTCAATTGATGAATTTGCAATAGAAATTCATCATTTCAGTTCTCTACTCAAAATTTTCCAGTATGTTCCTTCCCTTCCTACAGGATAAATGTCAAACTCTTCAGTCTGTAATTTAAAGTCTATTCTTACTTATAGTTCAATTGTAGGTAGAGGCAACAAATAGAGTGAGTACCAGTGACAGTTATGTATTTTCCTTTTACCGTCTGCTCCACAATCAATGACTGGCTTCTGTTCTAAAACAATTCTCCATCTCTGGGGAAAGAGGCTAGTGTGACAGGCCAGCAAAATAGTAATACAGTGGACCTTGCCTGTGTGATCAACACAGGCACTGGGTAACATAAACTTCACCAGTTTCTATGTTTTAAAATATATTTCACGCTGTACTTTTTTTTTCTCTATCACCTCTTTAACAATATACAGATCATCATATCATCATGGGCTTATGCAAAACCCAGGGCTTATTACAAATCTAAGGAAATTAGCTTCTCAAAGATTTGTGGCACAGCTTTCCAATTCAAGGAGCCTAGGGAGGAGTTCAAGTCTATTAAAATATTCAGAAGCCAACAGTCACAAGGCAGATGAACTTGTAGAAGAGGATCTGGGTTTGCATGGAACTGAAATGTTTTCTCCTGAGCATGAACAGAGCAGATGGCATTGCTTTAACTGCTTCTCTAGCATTGTCTGGGGAGGAGTCTACCTACATAAGCAGATCTTTGCCATTTTAATGACTATGGTTCTGCTCCTGCGATTTATATTACCATAGGAGACAGGAAGAATAACATGTGTATTTGTTTACCCAAACAAATCACTGAATTTACAGAACATTCTAGTATTTCCTTCCCCCCCCCCATTGTCTTTTACAGATTGTTTAAAGCATAACTTCATAAAGTCACACTGTGAGTCTCAAGAAGTAAATCGTATAGGGAACAGATGTGCTCTCAAGAAACAGCTTATGCTTATGAGACCAAAGATATACTGTCTCTGACAGGCAAGAGTACTGAATTTCTGAAGTATGAAGAAAGGTTGATATACATTTGCAGGTACCACTGCTTCCTAGAACAGATGAGACCACACCCTCTCAATTTATCCAGGAGAGAAGCCAGACAGTAACTGAGTTTCCAGTACTTGGGGCATAGTAGAGCATTATCTAACTACTTGTTTGTGCTCAGAAAATGTTAAATAATAATAGAGCTGTTATAAAGTGTTCTTCAAGGTGGCAAAGGTCATTTGCAAGATATGATTGTTTGATTTGATTGTTTTCTAATACCTGAATAGGATAAATGAATTATAGTGAAAAGAGTGCTAGACTTGGGAGTCAGGAAGACCTGAGTTAAAATCCTGCCTCTGATACTTGCCAGCTATGTGACTCTGGGCTTGTCACTTAATCTTT